AAATCCATCACCAAGCAAGAAAAGTCAATGCCCCGGTGTTGGGGTGTCCACAAGACCCATCCCAATGCCCTGAGCCCTGGGGTCACACCTTGGGGCAAGGCCCCGGGGCCCACATTTGGGTCGCACCCTCGGTTGAGGACAGAAAAGGAGGGGGAGGAAAGAGGGGGGGGGAACGAACAGATGTTTTGAGGAGAGAGAACTTAATTGATAATTGATATTGATAAATTTCTCTCTCCTCCCAAGGAGGAGAGGAAGCCTTGCTTATGTGAGCAAAACATCCCTGGATGTTTTGCTCACGTAAGCAAAGCCAAGAACCTTACTGATATGATATTGGTAAGGTTCAGAGACAGGAACCTTACCAATATCGTATTGGTAAGGTTCCGAGCTTGTCAAGGGGCGGGTCAAAGCGCCCACGCCTCGCTTAATTAACCCGCCAGCCCAGACCCGGTTCTTGGCTGGCGTGCAAGCCCACACGCCCCTCCTGGAGGGGCAGGTTCTTCTGCACGCCCCTCGGAAGCGTGCTTTATTGAAAAAACACGCTTCTGAGGGGTGTGCGATCAACCCCGCCCCTCCTGGAGGGGCGGGTTCGATTGCACTCCCCTTTTGGAGGGGCGGGGGCGTGGGCGTGCGGGGAGGGGGGAGGAGTGCAATTATCAACACCCGGCCACTGCCAGTTTTACAATGTAGCATTGTAATGTTTAAAAGGTTCACAAAATTTTGAAGAATTTGATCAAATTTCACACATATTGTGCTTTCACACAACCCTGCCAAATGTGGCCTATCATTCCTGTGCAATTCAGTGGGGAACTTGAGAATTTTCAAAATAAAATTGAAAAGTCCCAGCCAAAGTTTCATATTATGCTAATAAGTGAGAACTCACTTGAATAATTTTGAACACCATGATTGTTTTGTTTTTCAAGTGTAATAAAAAGTTTGATACCTATACAACATGGTGGCTCACAATTCTTGGAAATATACTACAATCTGGGAGCTAATATCATAGTGTCCTCTATCAGGCCATTTTTAGCTCTCATTTATTGGAAAGAATAGCAGAATCAATCCATTTGCATTCTACATAAAAGCATGTATGTAAAAGCTGTGTTACAGATAGCGCTGTAGCTTTGGGAACTGCTGCACTGCGCTGCAGTGAAGCAGTCAGAGTGCCAGAGCTTTCTCTAATCAAAATCCCTCAAGAAAGCTGTGATTTCAGATTTCCAGAATCAATGTCCAGATAGTGGCAATCTTCTAGGTTTAGCAGTAGTTTTGTCACTGGTTAAGAGAATTGAAACCACTCCATGGAAAGAAATGAAGAAAAATCAGAATAAAAATAGGGCAAGAAAAAATCAGAATAAAAATAGGGCTTGGGAAAAACGACTCCCGTTTTTTTGCCAACAACCCCAAACAACCATCAGCAGATGTCCGTTGGGAGTTGTCTTCTAAAGTCTGGGTGGATTTTGGGAGTTGTCCGCCCAATTTCATTTTCATTTTTTTTTTCATTTTTTTTAATATTTTTTTTGGGATCCGGCTCCCCAAACCACCTCTCATGCATGAAGGGGTTTGGGAGTCAATCCCACTTGACCAGAAGGAAACCCTTTTGGTCAGTGAGGCAGCTATACCTCATTGACCAGAAGGGATCCTTCCGGTTGATGAGGAACCTATACCTTGTTGACTGGAAGGGATTCCTTCCGTTTGATGAGGAACCTATACCTTGTCAACCGGAAAGGATTCCTTCTGGTCAATGAGGAAGATTTACCTCATTCACTGGAAGGAATCCCTTCCAGCCTCATCAACGGGGAGGGATCCTTCTGGTTGATGGGGTTTAGCCTCCTCATTGACTGGAAGGAGTCTCCTCTGGTGGATGAGGTAAATCTTCCTCAACAACTGGAAGGGATGCCTTTCAGTAAGATTGAGGTAAATCTTCCTCATTGACCAGAAGGAATC